TTCTTAACATTCATATAGCTTATAGCGTTTTTGTAAGTAATCTTTGAACTTTTTCCAGTCCTCTTCCACTGCCTCTTCTCCCAGGTCTCGGATTCTGCCAGTCATTTCAGCCAACTCCATATAGTCTATCAGTTGCATCTGCCATTCTTCCAGCGTGGGCAAATCTTGAGTCTTCCAATATTTTGCAATGAGTATTCTTGCCGCAGTTGTTGCGTACATAAAAAAAGTTCGATCCTTCTTTAACACCTTCTGGCCAACAATGCCTAAAAGGAAGGCCTCTGGTTTCTTAGGGAAGGTATACTTAAATACCTTTTTTATCTCATTATAGATCATTTCCCAGAAGGCCTTAACTCTCGGGCATGTCCACCAGAGGTGAAAGAATGTTCCTTCAGTCTCCTTACATTTCCAACATTTGTTATCAGGCAGGTGATATATTTTTGCAAGCTTGACTGGGGTCATGTACCACCTATAAATCATTTTCATAATGTTTTCTTTCAAGGCATTACATGCCGTGAACTTCACACTGGTGGTCCATAGCCTTTCCCAGTCAGCAAACATAATATTATACCCAATGTCCTGTGCCCATTTTATCATAGCTGATTTGACCGTTTCATCTTGTGTGTTCCATTTTAACAGCAAGTTGTACATTTTTGAAAGTACCTTAGTTTTAGGTTCTAACAGTTCTGTTTCCAATTTCGATTTTTCCACCTGGAATCCTATCTTTTTATCCAAATTGAAAACCTCCTTAATCTGAGCATAATGTAACCAATCTCGCACTTTATCCTTTAATTTCTCCAAACTCTGCAATCTCCAAGTATCTCCATCTTTTTCTAGTATTTCCCAATATTTCGGCCATTTGGCCTCCATATTGAGTCTTTTCCGGGCCTTAGCTTCCATTGGTGACAACCACCTTGGGGTCTTGTTTTCTAGTAAGTCTTTGTATTTTATCCAGACATTAAACACTGCTTTCCTGACAATATGGTTCTTAAAAGCCTTATGAACCTTTACCTTGTCGTACCACAAATAAGCATGCCATCCAAAAGCATTATTAAACCCTTCCAGATCCAGGACATCAGTGTTCTCAAGAAGTAACCAATCTTTCATCCAGCAGAAAGCTGCAGCTTCATAATACAACCTTAAGTCCGGCAGGGCAAACCCCCCTCTTTCCTTAGCATCGGTTAGTATTTTAAATTTTATTCTGGGCTTTTTGCCCTGCCAGACAAATTTGGAAATGTCTCTCTGCCACTTTGTAAAACATTCCACCTTGTCCACAATCTGTAGGGTCTGAAACAAAAACAGCATTTTTGGCAACACATTCATCTTTATAGCAGCAATTCGGCCCAACAAGGAGAGTTTCAATCTTGACCAACTTTCTAAATCCTTTTTGATTTCTAACCAACACTTTTCATAATTGTCCTTGAATAAATTCAGATTTTTGGAAGTCATGTTAACCCCTAGGTATTTCACCCTTTTAACCACATTTAGATCTGTCTCTTTCTGAAACCTTTCTGATTCCAAAGGTGTCAATTTTTTCCCCAAAACCTTAGTTTTTACAGGAGCCAGAATCTAGTACCAAAAGAGCACTGGAACTGATTCAAGAATTTGGTCAGGTAGCAGATTTTAAGTTGAACAAGACGAAAACTAAAGTCTTGGAGAAAAATCTAACTGAGATCGAGAGAGATGAGTTTCAGAGGGAGACAGGATTAACATTGGTTGAGAAAGTGGAATATTTAGGGGTTAATATGACCGCTAAGAACGTCAATTTATTTAAGGATAATTATGAAAAATGTTGGATTGAAGTGAAAAAGGATTTAGAAATATGGTCAAATTTGAAGTTATCGTTGTTAGGCCGAACTGCTGTGATAAAAATGAATGTATTGCCAGGAATGCTGTTTTTGTTTCAAACATTGCAAATTTTGGACAAAATGGAGTGCTTCAAGAAGTGGCAGAGAGATATCTCTAGATTTGTCTGGCAGGGCAGGAAGCCTCGTATAAAATTTAAGATATTAACTGATGCTAAAGAAAGAGGTGGATTTGCCCTGCCAGACCTCAGACTTTATTATGAATCAGCCACTTTTTGTTGGCTGAGAGAATGGATGCTTCTTGAAAACACTGATGTGTTGGATTTGGAAGGTTTTAACAATGTATTTGGTTGGCATGCATATCTGTGGTATGATAAGGTTAAAGCACACAAAGCATTTAAAAACCATATTGTCAGGAAAGCACTGTTTAATGTCTGGATAAGATATAAAGACTTGTTAGAAAATAAAACCCCGAGATGGTTGTCACCAATGGAAGCAAAGGCTCAGAAAAAACCCAATATGGAGGCCAAATGGCCGAAGTATTGGGAAATTCTGGAACAAGAGGGAGACAGATTAAAACTGCAGAGTTTTGAAAAATTAAAAAACAGAGTGCGAGACTGGCTCCACTACAGTGGTGCCACGCAAGACGAAATTAATTCGTTCCGCAAGTCTCTTCGTCTTGCGAGTTTTTCGTCTTGCGATGCACGGTTTCCCATAGGAATGCATTGAAAATCAATTAATGCGTTCCTAGGGAAACCGCCTTCAGACCTGGTCCGGGGACAGACTGAAGGCTGGGGGGGGGACAAGGGCTTTTCTTCCCACCCCCAGCATTTTAAAAAAAACCCGGGACAGCGGAGGACTTCTCCGCTGTCCGGGCGATCTTAAAATGCTGGCGGGCGGCATTTTAAAATCGCCCCGGGACAGCGGAGGACTTCTCCACTGTCCGGGGCGATTTAAAAGCCCCTGGGAAGGCAGGCAGGGGGGACAAAGACTTTCGCCCCCCCGCCCGCCTTCAGAAGGTGTTCCCTGCCCGCCGCCCGGCTTCGGAGCACCATTCCGAAGCCGGGCGGCGACGGGAGGTGTTCCCTGCCCGCCGCCAGGCTTCGGAGCACCGTTCCGAAGCCGGGCGGCGGCGGGAGGTGTTCCCGCCCCGCCGCCCGGCTTCGGAGGAGCCTTCCGAAGCCCGGCGGCAGCGGGAGGAGGTGTCCCCGCCCCGCCACAGGCTTCGGAGGAGGTCTGAGGACAGTGGGGAAGACGCGCTGCGCTTCCCCGCTGTCCCGGAGATTTCCCTATGGGCTGTCGTCTTGCGAAGCAAGCCCATAGGGAAATTCGTTTTGCGAAGCGCCTTCATCTAGCGGGTTTTCTGTCTTGCGAGGCGTTCGTCTTGCGGGGTACCACTGTATTATCAAATTATGGAGGCATATAATTTGGACAAAAAACTAGGCTTCCAGGTGCAAAAATCAAAACTGGAAACAGAATTGCTAGACCATAAAGTTAAGAATCTGTCAAGAATGTATAACTTGCTGTTGAAATGGAATACTCAGGATGAAACGGTGAAATCTGCTATGATTAAATGGGCACAAGATGTTGGACATAACATTATGATGGCTGACTGGGAACAGTTATGGACCACAGGTATGAAGTTTACGGCATGCAATGCCTTAAGAGAGAATTTAATGAAAATGATTTATAGGTGGTACATAACACCAGTCAAGCTTGCAAAAATCTATCATTTGCCTGATAATAAATGCTGGAAATGTAATGAGACTGAAGGTACATTCTTTCACCTTTGGTGGACATGCCTAAGGATTAAGAACTTCTGGGAGATGATTTATAATGAAATGAAAAAGGTATTTAAATATACCTTCCTCAAGAAACCAGAGGCCTTTCTCCTGGGCATTGTCGGCTAATTGGTGCCAAAGAAGGATAGAACTTTCTTTATGTATGCTACAACAGCAGCAAGAATACTCATTGCAAAGTACTGGAAGACACAAGATCTACCCACCCGGGAAGAATGGCAGTTGAAGCTGATGGACTACATGGAGTTGGCGGAAATGACTGGCAGAATCGGAGACCAGGGAGAAGAATCGGTGGAAGAAGATTGGAAAAAATTTAAAGTTTATTTACAGAAGTATTGTAAAATTAATGAATGTTAGAAGGATGCTGGAATGAAGTTATATGGCCTTAGCAGAAATGTTATAAAGAATTAAGTAAAAATAGATTGTTAATGGGTCAAAGTGGAAATTTAAGGTTAGACTGTGTTAAGATAAATTATAGAACAAAAATTAAGAAAGATGGAAAGGATTTGCTGAAATAGTTAATTGAACAAGAATACAAAAAAGGGAGGTGTGAGGAGGTCGATGACACAAGTAAATGAAAAGTAGAGATATAGAGATATTGGATGTGTTTTTTTTAATGTTTTTGCTTTTTTGTTGTTTTGTTGTATTTTTTGTTTGTTTTTTCTCTTTATTTTTGATGTATTGTGAACTTTTTATTGTTTCTTTCTTCTTTTTTCTGTAACTATTAAACTTTTAATAAATATCTTTAAAAAAACAAAAAACAAAGTTGTTGAACTCTTTTTTCTGGATTTGAAGTTGTTGAGTTTTTTTTTTTTTAGGATTTCCCCCACAAAATTAACTGCCACAGAGACCGGATTACTTTATTCCTTGCATTGGGGGGGGGGGAGCCTCTGCCCGCAAACAGATCAACAGCTGGCCTTGATTTCTTACTGGCCTCATTGTGTTACCTCTGACGGGAGACACAAGGGATGAATTTTACCTGGATGTCTCGTGTGTGTGTGTGTGTGTGTGTGTGTGTGTGTGTGTGTGAAAAAGGTAAAAGGCGGATCCCCATTTTTCCCGTAACACAGGAGTCGAAACCGCAGCTCATTGTGCACCAGTACCTAAAACACGGATGGATCTCATCTCGCGGCGTGGGAGGGAAGGATTTTGCAATGTAAACATTGTGGGGTGGGGGACCCCACTTTGCAAGTGGATTGCCAGAATCAGACCCTCCCCCCTCTCCTGATCCACAAACGGAAGAGGAGAGGGGGAAAACCTTCCTCGATCCCCCCCCCAATTCCTCCCCTCCCCTCCCGGCACATCCTTCTCTCACCCCACCCCCCATAACCCCAGATCCCGCCCCCATTCGTTGCACCCATTTCTCCTCCTCCTCCTCCTCTTCCTCCTCCTCACCATTCGGATTCTGTTCCGAGAATAAGGGGGGGGGTGAGCTCCCTCCCAAACTGCCTGCTTCTCCCGGAAGAGGAGCTTCTGCGCCGGATTTCGGAGGAGGGGCGGCAGGGGAGGATACCCCCCCCCCGTGGATGTTGCAGGAAAGGAAAGGAGAATCGCGAGGGAGGACAAAGAGGTAAAGGGGTTGCGGGGGGGAGGCGAGAGAAGGATGCAGAGACCCCCTTGAGCTCCCGAAAGCGCCTTTCCTGCAACTGGATCCCTGCACGCGTGCTGCGAACGGGGTTTTCCTTGGACCCTTAGGAAGCCCACGCAGGGGATCCCAACGAAGACCCCTCGCCCCATTTCCCCGCGCAGGCATCCCTGGGACTCCGTGGGTTCCGCGGGGAGAGAGGTGGGCCATGAAAGGGTTAACGGGAGTGAGGGACGCTTGGATAGAGACCCCCCTGTCCCTCCCCTGCTCGTCTTGGGGGGCCCCTCCGGACGGAGAGATGGGGGCGCAGGGCGTGGGGTAAGCCGCGCCAAGGGGGCCCTCTGGGTGCAGGGGAGACTCTGGGACAGAGGGAGGGAGTCGAGGAAGTGGGGAGGGGGAGCATCCCTGGGGCAGGGAAGGGCAGCATTGGGGGGTGGGGGGAGAGAGCTAGGTAGACCACTCTTTGCGGACACGTCTCCATCATGGCGCCCGCGGGAATTCTCTGGAGGGGCCGCATTGGCTTCTCCCTCCCACCCAGGAATCGGCCACCCCTTCAAAGCTACTAGTGGGATCCCTGGAAAGTGGGGGGTCGTGTCCCCCCACCCATTCCTTCCTGCAACCTCTATCCTCTTCCCACCCCATAGGCCCCTGCCCTGCCCAGGGCAGGAATGTTGCAGGAATGTATGTATAGGTTGGTAGTCTGTATATCAGCACCATCACTTTTGTGACTTTTGTGATTTGTCCCCACAATCATCACAGTTTCTTCCTATCTATTCAAAGGGCCTTTGCTGCACAATACCAAATGTAAGAATTCACTGATAAATGTCTCTATGTACTGGCTCGCTGGGGAAACTTCAGAAATTCATATAGACATGTGAGCTCAGCTACTCAGCAGCCCCTCTGCCTGTGTGATAATCCCTGGCCTCCTGATACCTGAGTGCCGAACAGGTAGCCATTCCAGAAAGAACCAACCCAGATGAAGACAAAAGGGTGGGATTAACTTCCCTTGGAAACAGGTCAGGGAGGACAATGGGTGGCTGGCTGGGGGCGGATCAAAGGCCAAAGAAAAGAGGCCGACCCCTTTGTCCAAGCCCCTTTTGGTTTTCTTCCTTCAGGGATCAGGGTCATCAAGAGCCTGTACTGGCAGTCGGATTAAGGTAACATCTGGCCTGATTGGAAGGGGCATGGCCCCTCCGCCAATCTAGGGTGCAATTTTCTTTCTGGGCAGGCGCCCAGCTAGACCGCAGAGAGTGGCCTTCTTGTTTTTGTGGTGGGGGGGGGATGGATCCCTCGAGGCCGCCATTCGCCACCCTCCAGCTGTAGGCCACATTTCAGCTGTTTCCTTTTTGCAGGCGTGGGGGAGCATGGCCGTGGGCTCCACTGGCCATGAATGGTGGTGTGCGACCCGAGACGTAGGCCACACGGCAGCTTTTAAATCTGCTGATGCCGCTTTAAACAACAGGCCACATTTCTGCCATTTCCTTTCTCGTTGGGGGGGGGGTATAAGTCAGGCCGCATGGTGGTAATGTTTTCCCCCATCCCCCCCCCATCGCACTTCTGCTGCTAGAGGGAAATGTAAATATCTCTTTTGTTACACTTGATGGGTGTTTGGTGGAGGGCAAGGAGAACTATGGGGCAGGGTCCAGGATGCTCAGATTACTGCCACCAGACCTCCCCTTTCATGATGTAAGCATGATGTAGTTTGGGGGGGTGTAACATTGGCATTACCAGCTAATAAAAGATTGGGTTCTCTTTTGTTTGGGGCTTCCATCTTGTTTCAACTGGTGGCAGGTGGGAGTCCTGTCACGACAGTCTTCAATAAAGACCAAGCCTACTGGCTGCTGTTTTGCTCTGGTATTCCTGGCTGGTGTCCTTGTTTTTTGTCCAGGGGGGCCCTCAGATTTCTCCGTTAACAAGACACACCTTCCTTCCTGCAAGCTCCACCCAATTCCCACCCCATAAGCCCCTGACCTGTCCATAATAATAATAATAACAATAATTTATATCCCGCTCTCCCCAGCTGAAGCTGGGCTCAGAGTAGCTAACAACAATAAAAGTAACACAGTTTACATATAATCACAATCAGTTAATTAAAATGCATTCTAAAATCAATTCATTCTAATATCAATTCAAAATCAAAATCAAATTAATGGTAGATACAGCGGTTTTGCCAAGTCCAACCATTGGTCTCCCTGGAGAGGTAAGGAAATTCCAAGAGGAAGAGAGGAGGAGAGAGGCCTTCAAGGAAGCGGCTCTTTGTTTCCGCAGTCCTACCCAGGAATCAGCCAGAAACCTTTTCTTCTTCTTCTTTTTTTATAAAATTTTTATTGGGTTTTACATTTTATATTGACATCACAAACACACAAAGACAGAGACAAACATGTATCATTTCCAATCCTTACTTTCATAACCACATTCTCTGACTTCCCCGCACCTCCCCTTCATACATCCTAATTCCAATAATTAACTCAGCAAGTTCTTACTCTCATTTTTACAGTATTATAACGATCATTTTTTCTTTTAACTTAGTTCTTCTTAGTTAACCAAATTTAACTTATACCTCAATTATAATCATTACATCCGTTTCTAAGGTCGACCCAGGTTCCCTTCCACAGATTTCCCAATTTTATATATTAGTTCCTAAACATACTACCTAAACATAAAAATCATAAAATTATAGTCCTTTTGGATTCAAACGCTCTCACCCCCCTCTTTCCCGGTTTCGATCCCCCAAAAAAGAAGATTCCACGATATCAGTTCTTAGCCTGGATTTCTCACATCCGAGGCCTTCAAATCTCTGTCAGTCCCTCTCCGCCGATTTTGTTGGTAGTCCTTTATGTTGGTCATCGGGTCTCGAAGGAGCTCTATCCCAGTAAAATCCATGTTTCTTCCAGCCAGTCCTCCATATTCCAAAACGGAGCCCCAATCATATTTCTTGCTTCTTTTAAATCCAAATGTCCCAAATGTCCCAAAGGCTTCCTCTTTCATCTTGAACAAATTTGTAATCCATGATTCAGCCACAATTTTCTTGTTTTCTTTATATTCCACAATTGTAGGCTTCTGGTGGGCCCTTTCCACCAGCAATATTTCCGCTCCTCCTTCTCTCTCCTCTAGTTCTGAAAATATCACTTCTGATTCAGCTGCAGAGTTATTTTTTGTCAAGTCCTTAACACAGTCAACAGGATTATTTACTTTAGAATTCAAGGTCGCAAGCTTTGTAGCCATAGCTGTGCTCTGGTCTTGTAGCTTTCCCATGAGAAGAAACATTTTTTCCAACTCGGCCTGTAATTTTCCATCTGCAGCCATTGTAAGTCCCCCCTAGAGAGGTTCTGATTACTTAGTAACCCTTCTCCAACAGTTAATTACCTTATTACTTATTTCTTCATTGTTTCCAACAACTTAAAATCAAATGTAACATGTCTAGTCCACAAAGATATTAAATAACAATTTTTCTAGATTTGACAGCTCCTTTGACAGCTCCTTTGACAGCTGTCAAACTCCTTGTGTCTCCTCAACAGGCTCACTCGCGGATCGCTCCCGGATCCAGGGGGGGTTTCACATCCACTTCTAGAATTCAGTTCTTATCCTCCAGCACAAAACTTCTAATGCCAATCGTGAAATTAATAACTTTTGTCTCACAAAGAGAGAAATGGTCTCTCCACCTTAGTTATCTGATTCTTGCTTTAAATGTCTGCAGAAAGGGGGTGCGGACTTCCTTTTAGCACTCCCCCGATCGTTCCGAATTCAATGAAAAGAAAATTTTTAAGTCCAAATTCCGTACTACTCACGGGTTATTTCTTTTTCAGCCCAAATGTTTAAGGAAAAAAGTCAGTGATCTCCAGCCATGGCTCGCGGCTTCACTCCACTGAAGTAGCGGTCTACTCACAGCACCACGCCACTCCCCGCACCCTCTCCGAAGCCTTTAAAAAGGCTTCTTTGTGGGTCAGGGGGGCGCAAATGGTGTCCAGCGAGTCACCAAGTCCACAGGCTTCAGCGCCTATGGTTTCTGGGGGTCCCCGCGTCGCCGCCGCGGCAGGACCCGTCTTCAGTAGAGCCGATTCCCTCCGGAGCTCGGAGGGAATCCGCCATTAACCGATCGCCCTTACCCGGAAGTCCCCAGAAACCTTTTCCTCTCTCTCAGGCTTCCATCTTAAAGTGTCTTTTCCACTGCCTGGTTCATTGAGGATGAGGATAATGTACACCTGTCATCAGAAACAGGGGTGCAGAGTCAATGGAATGGCTCTCAGGCTTGATATGGAAGTCAAAAGCATTTCTGTTCCTCTTATTCTTTGTAGGCAGTGTCAGAGTGACTGACAAGCTGAGATACAACCCATCAGCATCCAATGATAGCCATTGCATGAATCTTCCCAGTCAAAGGACCCATTTTCATGATAGACAGTGCCTGTGGCTGGAGGCTCTACATACAGGGTGTGCCTATACAGGCCAAAGACTGCCAATATTAGCAAAGGCGAGGTGTGTGACACACACACACCCCAAAAAATTTACAGACTTCGTGTGAATGAGAGTTTGTGGGTGGGATTATCGTTTACGGCAACCCTGTTGCTCCCACAAGGGAGCACCCAGGGGTCAGAACACTCATCCCCCAACATCAATTTCTGGACATGGCCTAGGAGGTAGGAGGGGAACCACTGCATAGCAGGGCCTCCAGCTCCCTTAGAGAGTCCAGAAGGATACCATGGTCAAAGGTCTCCAAAGCCGCTGAGAGATCCAGCAGAACCAGGAAACAGCACAGCTAGGGCAATTTCAGTTCCATGGTGAGGCCTGAATCCCAATTGGAAGGATAATGGTGGCAGAAGCTTTCCTGGTCCTGCAACCCCAAAGCTCCAGGCACAAGACTTTTATTAGCTTTGAAGGAGCCATCGGATACTTGGTGGTCTTCTCTTCAAAACACAAATATTCTGAATACTTTTTAATTGATATATAATATAAGCAGCAGTTCTGTTTTACATATTCCACATTGGAGAGATTCTGATACACAGATCTGAGTTCATCGCCCCCCTGAAACTGCTGTGTTAGCAGCACTGCCTGGGCAGTGTGTTTGGGGGTCCTGGGCTGCCTAGACAACAAGACCCCCTTCTCAGCCTGGCTTATATGGTCCCAAGGAAAGCAGAGCAGTACGTCAGGCACCAGCTTGGCTGCAGGAGTGGCTGGAAGGAGGTGTGCAGGGCAGCATCCAACCATCTTAGAGAGTCCACTCTGGATTTGTGTGAGTTGTTTTCCTCCATAACCTTCTCCTGAATATAACTCAAGAGGAAGTGAAGGAGTGCACCAAAGTATTACGACCAGAGTTTTCCTTCTTGATGGGCTCCCTTCCCAGGTTGACAGGCCCCATCTGCCCTTCACTTTCCTCTGCAGAATGGACATAATCTGCCTCCTTGACTGTGGGGTTCACTGTTGTTCTCAAAATTTCCATCCACCAGGGCCTTTGTTCACCTGCAGCAGAATTCCCTAATACACCAAGGATTTGAGACCCATCATCTATCCTCACCTGGTTTTGCCGGCCAGTTGAAGCCGTTCCTGGGATTGTGGTCCCTATTCCATCCTGACAGCTTCTGGAATACACAGGTGAGAGCTGAGTGTAGGGTGGGGACCAATGGTGGATAAATTACTCCAGCAGGCGGACTACATTACCTCCACCAAAAGTACTAACACTCCCCTAACACCCCATGATATTGTATGATTCGGATCTTTAAGACAGAACAGGAATTCATCTCCCCAGAAATAACACAGCTTCAGGCCATCAGTGAATCAATACTACATTTTCAAGGTACTACACATTCCACGAAGCACAGTTTATCTATTTGCCTTGAATATCCTGCTTTTCAGTGTCATTTTAGGATAGTCCTGCGTCAGAAGACGGGCAAGAGATGAGACAGCACATCATTCTTTAAAAAAATCATGCTGCTTTATTAACATTGATTGAGGATTTTGAAAGTTGCTCATGAATTACTATCATCTGATGACATTGCAACTTCATTTCCTAAAAATTGGGAACATGGATAGGAGATGAGGGAATGTAGGAGATGTTGAAATAGGAGAAGGTGCTAATGGAGCTTGATATGTTCTCTTTCCCTTAGTTCTCTTCCTTGAAACCTAAACAGGATTTCCGTTCCTCCCACTCTGAAGAAGGAGATGGAGAAGACACTTCAAACCCCAGTGAATGGGGCACCTTTCGTATCATTAGGAATAGAAAAAAAAGAGTGTGAAATGCAGAAAATGCTTCATTGAATGAGCACCCATAGTTCACATCAACGACGTCCAACAGGGGGAAAACCATTTAAAGGTATGGAGTGTGGGAAAAGTTTCCCTGATAGTGGAAAACTTAGAACACATCAGCGGACTCACATGGGCAAGAAAGAATTCCAATGCAGGGAGTGTGGGAAGAACTTCAGTCAACATGGACACTTAAGTTTACATCAACAGTTTCACACAGGGGAAAAACCTTTTAAATGTCTGGATTGTGGAAAGAGCTTCAGTCGGAGTGATAAACTTAGAGCACATCAATGGACTCACACGGGGGAGAAACCTTTTAAATGCATGGATTGTGGAAAGAGCTTCTGTCGGAGTGATACACTTAGAAGTCATCAGAGGATTCATACAGGGGAGAAACCTTTTAAATGTCTGGATTGTGGAAAGAGCTTCAGTCAGAATGGAGACTTAAGTTTACATCAGCGGACTCACACAGGGGAGAAACCATTTAAATGTATGGAGTGTGGAAAAAGCTTCAGTACCAGTGGAAACCTTAGAACACATCAACGGATTCACACAAGGGAGAAACCATATAAATGTATGGAGTGTGGAAAGAGCTTCAGTCAGAGTGGACACTTCAACATACATCAACGAACTCACACAGGGGGAAAACCATTTAAATGCATGGAGTGCGGAAAGTGCTTCAGTCAGAGTGGAAACCTTAGAACACATCAATGGATTCACAGAGGGGAGAAGCCATTTAAGTGCCTGGAGTGCGGAAACTGCTTCAGTCAGAATGGAGTCCTTAAATTACACCAGCGGATTCACACAGGAGAGAAACCATTTAAATGTATGGAGTGCGGAAAGAGCTTTAGTGATAATGGAACCCTTAAAAAACATCAATGGACTCACACAGGGGAGAAACCATTTAAATGCATGGAGTGTGGAATGAGATTTGGTGATAATGGAACCCTTAAAAAACATCAACGGACTCACACAGGGGAGAAACTATTTAAATGCATGGAGTGTGGAAAGTGCTTCAGTCAGAATGGAACCCTTAGAAAACATCAACGGACTCACACGGGGGAGAAACCATTTAAATGCATGGAGTGCGGAAAGTGCTTCAGTCAAGGTGCACACCTCAATATACATCTACAGACTCACACAGGGGAGAAACCATTTAAGTGCCTGGAGTGCGGAAAGAGCTTCAGTCGGAATGGAGTCCTTAAATTACACCAGCGGCTTCACACAGGAGAGAAACCATTTAAATGTATGGAGTGCGGAAAGTGCTTCAGTCAAAGTGCACACCTCAATATACATCAACAGACTCACACAGGGGAGAAACCATTTAAGTGCCTGGAGTGTGGAAACTGCTTCAGTCAGAATGGAGACCTTAAATTACACCAGCGGATTCACACAGGAGAGAAACCATTTAAATGTATGGATTGCGGAAAGAGCTTTAGTGAAAATGGAACCCTTAAAAAACATCAACGGATTCACACAGGGGAGAAACCATTTAAATGCATGGTGTGCGGAAAGAGCTTTAGTTTCAATGCAACCCTTAGAAATCATCAACGGACTCACACAGGGGAGAAACTATTTAAATGCATGGAGTGCGGAAAGTGCTTCAGTCAGAATGGAACCCTTAGAAAACATCAACGGACTCACACGGGGGAGAAACCATTTAAATGCATGGAGTGCGGAAAGTGCTTCAGTCAAGGTGCACACCTCAATATACATCTACAGACTCACACAGGGGAGAAACCATTTAAATGCCCGGAGTGCGGAAAGAGCTTCAGTCGGAATGGAAATCTTAGAAAACATCAGAAGACACACAGGGGAGAAACTGTTTAAATGTATGGACTGTGGAAGGAGCTCCAGTCAGAGTGGAACCCTTGATTTATCTCAACAAACTCACACAAAACACAAACCTAATACATATCAAGAAAGTAGATAGAGGTTCAGTCCTGGTGGAAATTCTAAATCAACAGATTCACGGACAGGAAGAACCTTTGGAGTTGAAACCCTACAAACCATCAACAAACTCAAAGAGGAGAAGCAGTTTAAATGAAAAGATTGCAAAAAGTGCTTTATTTACAATGTAGTGTTTAAGGAAAATCCAGAGACTCTCACATGGAAGAACCCATTTAGATGTATGAAGTGTTGGACGTCTTCCTCTCAGAGTCCACCCTTTTCTTCACAGAAATGAACTCAGGAGGAAATCAGTCTTTAACACATGTTGTGTATGTGAAGTTCTGTTTTTTTATGTGTAAAACTCTATCGTAATAAAATATTGAAGGCAATGTCAAACAATGTGATTATGATCTAAGATGTAAAGTACCTTTTGATAGAGAAGGGGAGAGGGTTTGTCTGGATTGTTGGTGGTGAGTGGGGATTAGGGCTGGGCGATATATTGTCCAAACTGGTTTCTAGACCACATCATGATAACCTTTCAAAAACAATTGATATGGCAACACACCAAGAATCACAGTGTGTGTTTCCAGGATGCTCATTTGCCTGGAAGCTGCTGGCAGAAAGCTTTGCTTCGTGAAGCCCCTGAATATGCTGAGTTGCTGACTTCCCTCCCAGACGACAGGAGGCGAAAGACACACCTCCATTGCTCTGCGTCCTTCCAGCCTCCTTCCTCCCTTGCTCCCTTCTGCCGGTTTGTGTGCCTGACTTAGATATCCTGTGTGCTGTATTTGTTTACTGCTGAAACTGCTGTACTCAAGCATGAAAAATTGGTGCATCTGTGTGTGACTGGTTTTTGCACCAAACTCTCTCACCCCCACCACGTGTGATCTCCAAACACTGCTTCTTCACTAGAACCTCTCCCTGTCTCCTACACATTCAGAAGAAAACTTAAAATACTGTAATTTAATGGGAGATTTCCCCCCAAGCCTTATTGCAAGAGAGGGAAGGAGGGGCTGCAGGTACCAGGGAAGTCTCCTGGGGGGCCCATCTTCCCTCATGAACCCCATGGGGCAACCCCAGATCTACTGCTTATTCTGGGATTTGGGGATAGCACTTTTCCATAGTCCCAGAAGTTATTAATCTTCCAGCCAGAGGACCAGTGTGCATATTATTATCATACTTATTTTACTGATGTTGCTGCTGTTGCTGTCATGGACTGGCTGGGTGAAAAGGGGGGGGGAGGCAGCAGCTGGGGAACCCCCAAGGAAACAAGGCTCGGATCCCGGGTCTTGTATGCCCCCTAAGTCTATCTAAACTCCTAGGTCTGTTCAATAAAAGGCTAATTTGGTGTTAAGGGGGGGGGACCCAGGTGCGAGGCTGCTCAGCCCCCCAGCTCATCAGGCAGAGACCGTGGGTCCCTGCGGAATAAAAGAAGGAGTCCGGCCACCAACCGGAGCAAATAGCTGTAGATCAAAGTTTATTGCGCAACAGGTCCAAAGAAGAATTGAACCCCGAGGATGGGGTGACAAGGACTTTTCAAAGTTTCTATCTTATCCCAGCATGCAGTTCGTGGAGCATCATCACTACAACATCGCTACATCAGGAGGTGAAAAAACCTATCTGAGGATGTACAAATTCCAACGCGCTTTAGTTCTGGGCTGCTTCACTCCTTGCATGAATTTTACCTGGGTGTCGGGGTTGTGTGTTGTTAACGGAAAAATCTGAGGGCTCCCTTGGACAAAAAGTAAAGACACCAACCAGGATAACTTGGAGCAAAACAGCAGCCTGTAGGCTTGGCCTTTATTGAACTGTTGCAACAGGGTATTCCCTTCACTTGCAAGAGAGAGGAAAGACCCAGAAAGATGGTGTGCCAGACCTTATAAAAACTTTTGAAATTCCCCTCCTCTAGGTCAAGCCCACCCCCAGGAACATCATGCATACATTACAGAAAGGAGGGGTTGACATCACGCATACATTACAGAAGGGGTTGACATCATGCATACATTACAGAAAGGAGGGGTTGAGGGAGGAGTTGTGGTGGTAACCTGAGTGTCTTGTCACCTGGCTGGTTCTTCCTTTCCCCCTGCCCATGAGTCACTTCCAGGAGACAAAGGGGGGTTTGCAGTTTCCTGCCCCCAGAGGGAAAATCTGATTATTGTCCTTTGTTTCAGTCTGTGCTGAATCCACTCCCATATGCAAGTTCTTTGTGATTTTGATTGTCTTCTGTCTGGGATTATCAGGGTTGACATAGCAACTGGGCAGGGCTCCTGTGGATGTGCTGGGATGGTGAAGGGATTATGGCTGACCAGAACCAAGCCACCCCCCCCCTTTGATAGTCCTTGTCACATGGAGTAAAATAAAATGGAACAGTGCAAATCCGATGTATGGTTGATTTTCTATGAATTTATAACAGAAATGTGGCGTATGTAGTGTGTGAGTGCGTGTGAAGTTTGTGCAAACAGAATGATTGGGGTGGGGGGTTCCTGCTACAGTGTGAAAAAGCCAAAGCCCCATTTCCCCCCGTAACACAGGAGTCACAGAGTCCAAGCCGCTGCTCAATGTACACCAGTACCTAAAACACGGACGGATCTAATCTCGTGGCGTGGGGTGGGGGAGGGAAGGATTTTGCAATGTAAACATTTTGGGATGTGAGACCCCACTTTCCGAGTGGATTGCCGGGATCAGCCCCTCCCCTGCTCTCCTGATCCCCAGAAGGAAGAAGGGAGGGGGGAAACCTTCCTCTCCTTCCCCCACTCAATTCCTCCCCTCCCGGCCCATCCTTCTCTCTTACCCCGCCACCTCAACCCAAATCCCGCCCCCCTACGTTGCACCTCCTCCTCGCCATCCGACTTCTGTTCTGGGAGTGGAGGGGGGGGGAAAGAGACCCCTCCCAAATTGCCTGCTTCTCCCGCGCCAGTAGCTCTACGGGCGCGCGCTTTCGGAAAGGGGAGGGGGCGGCAGGTAACCCCCCCCCCCACCCACGTGGATGTTGCAGGAAAGGAAAGGAGAATCGCGAGCGAGGACAAAGAGGTAAAGGGGACGCGGGGGGAGGCGAGAGAAGGATCCAGAGACTCCCTCCAGCTCACCAAAGCGCCTGTTGTGGATCTGGATCCCTGCACGCGTGCTGCGAAGGGGGTTTTCCTTGGGCCCTTAGGAAGCCCACCCAGGGGATCTCAACGAAGCCCCCTCGCCCCATTTCCCCGCGCAGGCATCCCTGGGGCGCTGTGGGTTCCGCGCGGAAAGAGGTGGGCCATGAAAGGGTTAACGGGCGTGAGGGGCACTTGGATAGAGACCCCCCTGTCCTCCCCTGCTCGTTTTGGGGGGACCCTCCGGATGGAGAGATGGGGGGGCGCAGGACGACAGGTGAGCCACACCAAGGGGGGACTTTGGGTTCAGGGGAGACTCTGGGACAGAGGGAGGGAGTCGAGGAAGTGGGGAGGGGGAGCATCCCTGGGGCAGCGAAGGGCGGGGGAGTGCTAGGTAGACCAGTCTTTGGGGATACGTCTCCATCTTGGCGCTCACGGGGATTCTCTGGAGAGACCACCTTGGCTTCTCTCTTCCACCCAGGAATCG